CCCAGGTGCCCCCCCCCCCCACCCCATGCTGTACCTTTTATTCCCATGACATATTCATTCCACCACTGGAGACCTGTATCTCCCACTTCCTGTCACCGGTTTTGCCCATCCTCCCACCCCCCTTTCCTCTCCCCTCTTGGCAACCATCAGTTTGTTCTCTGTATTTATAGGTCTGATTATGCTTTTGTTTTTGTTTATTCATTTGTTTTTTAGATTCCACATATAGGTGAAATCATGAAATTTGCCTTTCTCTGACTTATTTTACATAGCATAATACCTTCTAGGTCCATAGTGTTATAAATGGCAAGAACTCATTCCTTTTTATAGCTGAGTGATATTCCATTGTGTATGTCTTTATCCATCTTCTTTATCCATTCATATATCACTGGATTCTTGAGTTACTTTCGTATCTTTGCTATTCAGTTGTTTTTCTGATACTGGCTTGAAGAGACTAGGCCAGTAACTGCCTTGGAGCATTGCCACTTTCTGGTATGAAACAATTAGGTTTTCTTGTGGTTGTCTTTCACCTTCCTTCTCTAACTTATAGTTTCTATAAACTGGAACTTAGATCTGAAGGCTTGATTAGGTTCAGGTTAAATATTTTGGGGAAGACTACTTGATAGGTGATCCCATGTATTTCCTATTACATCACATAAGGAAGCTCATAAATATCTGATAGTGCTAGGATATTTGAGTAAATATGACAGCCTGTAAAGTAATGTTAGAAAGTAATATTTTTCCTCTTGCAAGAGCAAGTAACTAGTAAAGAATATATCTAGTTTCCCATCAGTCTTTTACTTAGGTGTTTTAGCATCCTTGCTTGAGTCCATTATTGCCTTAAGAGTTGCAAAGTGGTTGTTTTTCTCTAAATTTATTATTGGCTACCATTCTTTTCTAAAAAATGTCCTTTTTCTCATTAACTAGGCCTATTTGGTTATCCTTAAATGTTACCCTAAATTATAATTCCTATGAGAAAAGGAGGTTAAAGGCTTAATTCTTTCCTTTGGTTACCAATTTCAGAGTAAGACACTTGTGGTGGTTCTGTCCTCTTTGCCCTCAAATCTGTTTATTGCCTTCCCTACCTGGGAGGGTGACCTGTAGGAGGAGAAGTTAGCCCCTCTAAGGTCCTCCCCTCTCTCAGTGTTGGAAAATTGAGGGAGAAGATCAGATCCAGAGTATCCCCTTCTGCCCATCCACTCATGGGTTTCTAGAATTTAGTAACATCATTTTGTTTTCATTTTATTGATTTATTTTCAATTTATGGAAAGTAGTACTGGTTTTTTCATTTATGAGACTGATACTAAGTTTCCTTTTAAGATACAATTAAGTAAGAGTAATTCACAGGTACTACACAGATGAGGCAGGAATAGTGTAGGTAGTCCGTGGGCGACCAGAGCTTAGGAAGCTTATCAAGATGGAGCATTGACATCAGGCCAGTGGCGTGGGATTGAGCCGAGGGACAGGAGAAGAGCTCTTAAGGAGGCCGAGAGTGGACTTAGTGGTACGTGGAAGGGAGACGTAGAGGAGGACTCGAGGATGCCTGTCTCTAGGGTCCTGGCTGTGGGTGTGGGATTGTGCTGTTCACCGAGATGGGGAATACAGGAGGAGAGACACATTTTTCATTTCTCTTTCTATGAAGAACCAGGTGTAAATGTTAAGTTGAGTAGATACAAGTCAAAGCTTGTAATTTTTTTATAGTCATCTGAAGAAGATGCAGATTTAGTGTATTTCACATGAGGTTTCTGTAATATGCCGCAGTGTGTTTTGGATAATGAACTAAAGTAGAGTGAAAATAGTCCCCTTCATGGAAATTCACTACTGGCCCATCTTACTTCATTCCATCCCTCCAAGCACTTGCACAGCCCTACATGAAGTAGGTGCTCAGTAGAATTTGTTAAAGTGATTTAAAAAACAAAGTCACTCTTCTGGTACTGTGCCCTGTCACAATTCTTACTAATGTCTGTTTTCCAAAGCACTGTTTTTCTCTCTTTAATCTGGAATTATTCTTTGGTTAGCAGTGTTGCATAACTCAACCTCGTAAAAAACTTGTAAATAAATATAATAGTGTGCTTAGAGCTAGTGATTTTTCTTTTTTTTCCCTTTCTTTTCCTTTTTCCTATTTTTTTTTTTTCCCTTTACAATTTAGTATCAAAGAGTAGCTTTTTAGGGTTGATTAAATACTTCTGTTTAGGGCCCATTGTGATGACCTAAATCAGAATGTAACTACTACCTTTACATTTTTGTAGAATGGCTTCAAATGTCACTGTATGTCCGAATCTCATCAGAGACAACTCTTGCTGGCTTCTGAAAATCCTCAGCAGTTTATGGATTATTTTTCAGAGTAAGTAACTTGAAGACATCCTTTTGTCATAAGCTTTATTGAGTTGGACATTTAGTAGATGCTTAGTATTTTCTATATTGGGAGCTGTGTTTATTCCTTACACATTAACACGATAGCTGTATTATCCTGTGCTCAGGTTTTGTTTTCCTTTGACAGTTTATCAGAGTATGAAATTGTTGCAAAAGTGGTTCTCACAATTTAGTCTTGCACTTCAAGCATAAAAAACTCTTTCTAACTCAGTTGTGGCTCAGAGCATAGCTCTGGAGTCAGACTGCCTACCTTAAACCTGCAAATCCAGGCTTCTCTACTCATGAGCTGTGTGACTGGCTGAACCACTTACATTTGTTTGTGCTTTTGTCTGCTCATCTGTAAAATGGGACTAAAAACAGCAGCATGTTCCAAGCGTTTGCTTTATTTTCTAGAGCTTATATAAAGATTAATGAGTTAATACTTTTAAAGTGTTTAGAAGAGTACCCAGTACTCGATTAATAGCTGTTAATTATTATTACTATTAATGTTTAGTTTCCTAGCTCTTTCTTTCCAAAGTTCTAGGACGGAGCGTTGACATCAGGCCAGTGGCATGGGATTGAGCCGAGGGACAGGAGAAGAGCTCTTAAGGAGGCCGAGAGTGGACTTAGCACTTAAGCACCCTTAAAAATTATTGAAGAGCCCCAAAGAGCTTTTGTTTATGTTTGATATTGATACAGTGCTATTTGTAAGTTAGAGATTAAAAATGAAAAAAAATGTATTTATTAATTTATTTAAAATAATAATAAACCTATTACATGTCAAAATAAATGAATTTTTTAATTTAAAAAGCCTATATTTTCTTTTTTTTTAAACCTTTATTTTCTAAAACAAAAAAGTAAAAGTGGCACTGTTTACATTTTTGCAAATCTCTCCAATGTCTGACTTAATAGAAGACAGTTGGATACCACAATTGCTTCTGCATTCAGTCTGTTTCAAATGTTTTGGGAAGCACTTAAAGAAAGCCTACCCTGTACATAGATGTATAGTTGGAAGGGGGGAATATTTTAATAGCCTTTTTCAGATAATTTTGGATGTTCTTCTTTGATACTACATCAAAACAACGGCATGGGAGTTTTTTAAACTTTTTTCTTTAATATTTATTTATTATTAATTTAGAGAGTGTACCCGCCTGTGCATGAGTGGGAGGATGGGCCGAGGAGGGAGAGAATCCACAAGCAAACTCTCCGCTGAGGGTGGAGCCCAACGCAGGGCTCGATCATGACCAGAACCAAAATCAAGAGTCAGTGGCTCAACCGACTGAACCACCCAGGCTTCCCTGGCATGAGTAGTTTCTTAAAGATCAGTTGCAGTGTGGAATCTGAAACCACATCAGCAAACTTTTTATATTCTATTACATTATGATCCCTCGATCTTTCACTTTAAATGGATCTCGTACCCATGCATGATTTTATATCATCATGCATTGGTCATTTGGAAAATATTGGTTCACTGAGTATTCTGAATGGTGACACATTTTGTTACACAGTAACTATAAAATCATATTTATTAATGTGAGCATCAGTGTCATTGGAAATGTCTTTAAGTTTTGGGACGTATGTCAAACTCACAGTGACTGATGCTAGTTGACCAGATTCAAATTTTTGCTCGAAAGCTCAAATTTTATCATTGGCAACAAATACCGTCCATTGTTTTCCTGGATATGACAAGGCTCCCTTTGTTTATGTTTGAGGAAATGTCTACTAAATATCCAATTCGGAATAATCATGGTTGATTTGTCAGTCATTCTTTCCAATAAAAATGGTGCTCCGTGAAAAAAGGTAATTCAGCGTGGGCGCCTGGGTGGCTCAGTTGGTTAAGCGACTGCCTTCGGCTCAGGTCATGATCCTGGAGTCCCAGGATCGAGTCCCGCATCGGGCTCCCTGCT